TCTCTACTTTTTGGGAGACAAAGTTGTCTGCTAGGTTTGTCAGGAATCTGTTTGATCTTCCACTTGGTGCAGAGTTTGTCTCCCAGTTGATGTCAGGGTAATTAAAGTCCCCCATTACTATTGTGATGTGCTTCCTACATACCTTAGTTAGCTGACTAGCAAAAAGTTCATCTATTTCCTCTGTTTGGTTGGGTGGCCTTTAGTATACACCTATGGCAATGTCATTCCCCCACCTTTTATATTGATCCAAATGCATTCAAGACAGTTTTCATCATTGTTGTGCTCTATTTCTGTAGAGATGTAGTTATTTCTTATATAGAGAGCAACTCCACCTCCTCTTTTATTTGGTCTGTTTCTTTAAAATAATTTAAATCCTTCTAGCTGTGTGTTGCATTTGTGGGTTTCATCCCACCATGTTTCCGTAATGGCAACAATACCATATCTGCCCTCATTCACCTGAATTTCTAATTCACCCTGTTTACTGTTCATACGCTGGTTGGATTGAATCAGTGACCACTCTGAGTTTAATACCGACTGTTATTATAATTAATTTACTGTTTATTTCCTCAACTGATGACACCTAGAAGAAGTCTACATCTCAGTTTTTGTTCAAGGCTAGCGTTACAACAGCATACGTTATATGCCTAATAGTATAAAGGTAGTGATAATTAAAACCATAGATCTTTAAAAAATATTAACATGGGAAGGAAAATGTGTAATGAGTTTAAAGGAATGAACATGCCCACCCACCCTCACACTGTTTACGTTTGAAAATCTCTGTAATTCTATATGTTGCAATCACAAGTGTGGTATCTGCCAACATACCTTTAGCAATCTCGAGGTTAAAATATGCTGAAACATGAGGAGGAACTTCTAAATGTTTTTCCTTTCAGGTCATTTATATATGAGGCCCAAAATTTCTGCTGCTAAGTGAGTTTTGCCCCATTTTATGACTTTTTTGCCACAGTTTTTAAGTTAATTGTTAGTTGTAAGGTTGTTAAGTGAATGTGATTTCCCCATTGACTTTGCTTGCCAAAAGGTCAAAAAAGGTGATCACATGATTCCCGGACACTGCATCTGTCAAAAGTATGAGTCAGTTGCCAAATGTCTGAATTTTGATCACATGACCATGGGGACGCTGCAACAGTTGTTAAGTGTGAAAAACGGTCATGTCACTTTTTTCAGTGCTGTTGTAACTTTGAATGGTCAGTAAATGAACTGCTGTAAGTAAATCAAAATTTGGATGCTTGGCAACTGTCTCATATTTATGACAGTTGCAGTGTTCCGGGGTCATGTGATCTCCTTTTGCGACTTTCTGACAAACAAAGTCAGTGAGGAATCCAGATTCACTTAACAACCTTGTTATTAACTTAACAACTGCAGCAATTTACTTAACAACTGTGGCAAGAAAGGTCATAAAATAGGGCAAACCCGCTTAATAACTGTGTTGCTTAACAACAAAAATTTTGGTCGTAAGTGGAGGACTACCTGTATAGCTGCCCAACTCATAGATAGGTGACTCTTGGAGGTTTACAACAGGGGTCCGCAACCTGTGGACCAGGGCCTACTAGTGGGCTGTGAGGGGTTTGCAACTGGGCCATGGAAACAGCCAGAGAGCGCTTGCACACATCCTCACTTGTGGGAGCAGTGGGTGAGCACATGTGTGCGTGCTCCATTTACATGAGCGGCAGGTGCCCATGCATTCCCCTCATGCAAATGGAGCTGCCAGTGCTTGCCGGCCATTTTGCGAACTATCCCCTCCCCTCCCCCGGCCGGTCTGCAAAGGTGGAAATGGGGAACTCTGGCTTACAAAATTTAAAAACTCCACCACATAATGAATACCCATAAATCCCCCCACCCCACCCACCATGGCAGAAACAACACAAACAAATCAGCCACTTGAACAGCTCCATTTCCATTTGTGGTCCCCAGGCCCACTGACAAAACTATGTTTTTAGGGACTTTGAGAAAAGCAGAGGTTGAGGGCCATTCCTCAGCGGGAATGGTGTTCCACGAAGAAGGGGCCATCACTGTGAAGGCCCTTTTTGTAATCCCACCAGATGACAATCCCTTATCGATGGGACCCACAATGTGCCTTGCCTTCCTGGCCTGGTGGGCTGGGTGGGTTTAATAAAAGAGTAGTGGTCCTTCAAATAACCTGGCCCCAAGCCATGTAGGCCATTAAAATTGATAGCCGATACCTTGAATTTTACCTGGAAACTGACTGGGTAAATACACACACCCATTTGCCAAATTCTAGAAAAATGTTCTAATTGCAAAAACGAAAAAAAAGGAAAAAAAAGGAAAAAAATGGAAGGGCTACATTATTATATTATTATCTAATATGATCATCTCTTTACTCTTTTTCTGCTAGGACCTAGCACTTGGGGAACTATTGGCTCCTGCGGTGGCATGAGACAATCTCCCATCAACATTGAGCTCAATAAAGTAGTTCATGATTCTAGTCTTGGACCTATATATTTCAACGGCTATGAAGATCGTAAAATTGTCAAGCAAATGAAGAATACAGGATATCATCGTACGTATTCATGGATTACCATCCATTCCTTCACTTGGAGGAATATTTTCGACACCAAGGGTTCCCAGCCTTGGCAATTTCCAGATTGGTGGATTTCAACTCCCAAAATTCTCAGCAGTGGCCCTGCTGGCTGTGGCATTCTGGGAATCAAAGCCTAAATATCTGGTAGTTGCCAAGGTTGAAAAACCTTGTGCTACATCACAGTGGTATATTCCTAGTAATAGCAATTCAGCTGGGTTACAATGGCTACATGATCCTGTAAATCTCTGGAATCCAGCTTGGTTTTTCAGTTGGAATAATTGCTTCTATTTAGGCTAAGCTTACTGTGTGGTCTCCTTTCCGCCAGGCTTGATAGTTCTGTTAAGAGATGTGATGTGATTCATGAAGCCGTAATAAAATAATTTTTGGTAGGCAGCAATAAGCTGCAGTTCAATCACTGAGATCTGTGCTACAAATTCGATATGAGTGAAACTGAAGCATGCAACCTGATTCAATTCCACGCAGATCCTAATTTTTGTTTTTGGGAAATAGTGATGTAGTGCCTCCTTATTGTCACGTGAACTCTAGATTCACAGGAGGTGGAATAGAATCAGCCCCAACATCTTCCCTCTCCCTGGATACCCCTCCCCCCAAAGCCTGCCACATCTATCCTTTCATTCAAATCCATGATTTGGCTGTGACTCCAGTCTTCCTAAAATATGGAGTACTCTCCCAGATGTTGCCCAGATTTGGGCTGAAAGAATGATACTATCTGCACATTTGTGGCCTGAAAGAATACACCGTAATATCTCATATGCTGAGAGGACCTTGACAACCTTAAATTGGATCGCACTGTCAGAATTTGTCAACCTTGGCAATGTTAAGATGTGTGGACTTCAATTCCCAGAATTCCCCAGCCAGCATGGGAATTGGAGAACACATTACTTTCTGGCTGGGAAAGTATGTAAATGAAGGCTCAATCATCCAGGCCAAAAGTATGTAAAAAAGGTTTAATCATGGCAACTGGAACAAAGGCTGGGGAATTCTGGGAGCTGAAGTCCACACATCTTAACATCATCAAGGTTGAGGGTTTCCTGCCTGAGCAGGGGGTTGGACTAGAAGACCTCCAAGGTCCCTTCCAACTCTGTTATTCTGTTATTGCTCTAAGGAGAAGAAAAATAAGTCAGGGGACATCCTGAGGGACATCATATGGATGACACCGAAATCTTCCTACC